TTCAATGAGATGTGACAAAGCATGTGAATTGTTGCCAACCAGGGAGATTCATTAGAGACTCAGTGCCCTGGGTTTTTATGGAGGTCTGATCACATAGGCAGCATCTGCTTAGCATGTGCCAAAATTCAAGAACCCCAGAAGGAAAGCAGGTGTTCAGCATAGGCCATATTGTTTATACAAACACTTTAGGTAGAATGAACCATTTGTATTAGTTAATGGTGGGAACCTCTTTGAAATCTAAGTTTTTAGACACCAGTCAAGGGCGAATCTTACAAGCAGGCCTTTTCAAAAATAGAAGGTCAGGGCTACTGTGTTAATTTTTTTTTTTCTGCACAATTGCTATCGAAAACAGTTAATTGGGGCACCTGGGTGGCTCAGTCACTTAAGCATCTGCTTTAAGTGCAGGTCATGGTCCCAGAGTCCTGGGATCCAGTCCCGCATCAGGTATCAGGCTCCCTGCTTAGCAGGGAGACTGTTTCTCCCGTCTCCGTCTGCCCCTCCCCTCTGCTCATGCATTCTCTTTCAAATAAATAAATAAATACATACATACATATATACATACATACATCTTTAAAAAACAGAAAAAATTAGTTAAAATTAAAGGAAGTTATTCTCCCAATGTCCTGAAATCAAAATAAATGGAATCTATAAAAGGTATACCATCTGTATTTATCTCTTTTATCTGATTTTCACGAGACCCATGCTAGGAAGCATGTAACCATCTTCTTGGCAGTCTTACTGGAAGTTTTAGGTAAAATTCCTCTGAGGGTTTGAAATCATGACAATATTTTAAAAGATATAAATATTATCAAAAGTTGTTATGCATATGATCAATTATAAATAACAAATTTTAATGTGTTCATGTTATCTCCTTTATATTTCATATTTTTATTCTTATAAGTTTAGGTACACATTTCATAAATCATTTAAAATCTATAAAATACAGGTTTCTGTAACCTGTAGAATACTTCATTCTGGTGCCTACTATAATATTCATAAACCTTAAAATATAGATCAATAACTGCCCTGACATAATTTATCTTAAAATCATCCAAGCTTGTGTGAATATTTCAACTTCAGATGAATATTTTATTTGACATTATTATTGAATGATAATGTGAAATATAAACACCTCCAAGAATTGCACTGGCAAATGTCTCCTCTGCTGAGTTGACCTATGTTACTCAATGTTCTACTAGTTGATTAATAACCAAATAATAGGATCCTTGTGCATTTATCAAAATCTTGTAAGCTCAAAAGTAACTATTTTAACTTTTATTATTGATAATGTCCCACTTTTATATTAAAACTAAACTTTAGGTAGCTAATTTAAATGGAAATTAGTATATAATAAAAAAGTATTTAATTTTGTTCTACTACACTGTTCCTTTTAATTTGTTTCCACTTTACCTGCTTTTTTCTTCATTAAATCCCTAGCTACACTTGGAAGCATGCTTTAGATTCCTTTGCTGTCTTATTCTATCAGTGACACTTATAAATAAAATATAATTCACTTTAACTATTAAACATGTTAAGTTTTAGGTGAAATGTCATGTTATCACGATAACATGACATCAAATGTCATGTTATCCCCCAAAGTTATCCCCCACCCAACAGTTTACTAATTATAAAGGAAAAAAAAATCTTTAAAATGAAGAAGTCTAGTAGACACTGCCTTAAATAGGGTACCAAACTTAACACCATTCACCATGAGATCTACTCACATCATGAACCTCCCTGTATAAGCCACTAAAAAGGGTACCATATCACCTATACAGTGTCCCTGACAAAAAAGGTCCCAACTAAATGTAATCATGGGGAAGTAATATGACTAATCCAACCTGGGGAATTCTACAAAATAACTAATCTGGATTCTTCACTAATATAAATGTCATGAATGACAAAATGGTTGGAAAATGGTTATAAATTAAAGGTGATCAAAGGGACATAAGAAGCAAATAAAATGTGAGTCTTGATTAGATCCTGAATTTAAAAATAAAACCTATAAAGCACATTATTTGGACATTTGGGGAGATTTACATCATAGCAAATACTATTGTATTAGTTTTGTAAGTGTAAAAATTACATAGTAGCTATGTAGGAGAACACTTTTGTTCTTAGAGACACATGCTGAAGTATTAGTGGTGAAATATAATGGTTGGAATAATCGAATAATTCAGCAATTATAGTATAAACACACTGTGCAGAAAGATATGGCAAAATGTTAACTCTTGGTGAAATTAGGTAAAAGAGTAAATGGGTATTTATGGAACTGTTCTTGCAAATTACTATAGGTTAAAAAAATCCAGAATAAAAACTTTGGCATGGAAAAAAATAAAGGCATTCTGTTTATAAAGTTCTTTCTTCATAAATATTCTGTCCTTGAAAGATGAATTTTTAAAACTAGACAACTTTTCTAACATGCTATAGAAATACTACTGATGAAAAAGGTAGAAATCAAAAAAAATTGTAGTAACATTTTAAAGTTATAAAATATCTTCCAACTAGCAAGGATACACTCTTAAAAATTTCAATTAGGTGATAGCATATTAATAATGAAAGTTGATTAATTATTTTTCCTATACTTTTACATTTGATTTTCAAATTTGTGTAGCCTGTCTTCCAAATACACCAATGAATTAAAATATCCCTTTTATATAGAGACTGATGGCCATTATTGAATATTAGAGACTGTAGTGTAGGAAAATAAAACACTATTACCCCAGAAAGATATCCGAAGTTCTCAAAATTTTGCTATTAAGTGGAGAACACAGATACTTATTTTGGGGTAATAATAATTAAAACAGAATGTGGTGGGGGCGCTTCAGTGGTTCAGTCAGTTAGCCATCTGCCTTGCACTCAGGTCATGATCCCAGTATCCTGGGATTGAGCCCCAGGTCAGGCTCCCTACTAATCTCCCTCTCCCCGCTCAAATTCTCTCTCTCTTTCTCTCTCAAATAAAGAAAATCTTAAAAAAAAAAAAAAAAAACTAAATGTGGTAAAGTTACATAAAGACAGAAGAGTAGAAAGAAAATGAATCCATGATCAAAGAAAAAGAATGACATTATTAAAACTCAGGAATAAAAATTGATGTTTATGAATTAATTAAAAATACTGTAAAATGAATAATTCCCATTGGTAGATCTTTTACTATTAAAATTTATTTAAAATTTTAGTAAGTCAAGGTTAAAAAGTATATAAGATAAAGCAAAAAAATTATCTATGAGTTTAAAGGTAAATATGAAAATATTATAAATTTCAATGCAAATAATTCTTATGGAGAGAACTAGAAGTAAAAATAAAATATTTCTAAAATTTAACATATCAACTTTAAATAAAATATAAAATATACTGGAGAGAGAATTAGTGAATAGAATGTATAAAGAAATTATAGATATGGAGGAGGGAATTATTTGATCCAATACATGGCACTTGATATAGTCTCTAAGAGAGATGAAAAAGCAAAGGTAAGGAGGAAGAACCATTTCCATAAAAATAGGCAATACTTTTCCAGAATTTTCATATTTAGCAAGGTCAATAATTTATGAGCAAAATTAACAAAAATAAATTTTCTAAAAAACTCCTGTCCATTACTATTACTCTATATTATGCATTAATAAGACTCATAAAAGTTGATTCTCTGAAATGATTAAACAATCCACTGAAAAATAGGTTAATTTAACAAAATAAGGATGACAGAAGGCAAAAATAAAAAATCCATGGTATAAAAAAATTCCAATAATTTTATATACACACTAATTAAAATAAAATTAAAACTGTACAATTTAGAGTAAATTGGACTGCAAGAATCAATAAAACCAATAAAACAATAAAAGTAAAAATATATTTGAGTACTGGAGTTTATTATTTAAGTATTAGTAGCTTAAGTATTGAGTATCATTATTTGAAACTAGTAGCTCTTGGTTTAGAGCTCAGGTACCGACGTTCCTTACTCTTTGTGCATCGACCACCCACCAGGGGTTTATGTCATCTTTACTTTGCTGGTAGAAGAGAAAGAGAGCTTGGATGAAGGACACTCACGTCACAGATGCCTTGGTGTGGTAGTAACACACATCCCTCTACTCATAGTCCACAGACCCATATCATGATGTTAACATGTGGCCTGACCCTGTGTCCAGGAAAACCAGTGAAGCTATTTCTAGTGAAGAGTAGCAGTCTATGCCACAAAAACTAAGATGGAAAAAGCCATCCGTATGACTTAGAAATATTCAATACTGAGTGACAGATAGAAAATCTGAGCGGTAAATAAACCTTATAAAGATGTGTTGAATTGCTAAATAAAACCTAACCCCAAATAGTTAAGCCCAGAAGTCTTCACAGGAATGTTTTACAAACATATAGAAATAGCCCATTCATTAATAAATTTTTCCAGTAGTTAGATAAAAGAGGAAGCACTTAAAGAACTTTTTTTTTAAGTTAACTGAGAAGAAAGAAAGAAAGAAAGAAAGACAGACAAAAGAAAAACTACAGAAAATTATAATCATGGGTATAATGAGTTAAATACAATATTAGCAATCTACAATACATGTATTATATATGTATATATAAGTATCATCATGCATTTATTCATTATCCACACATAGGCGTTTTGTATTAATATACACATGAATGTATTGTCAGAAACTTCGTGAAAAGCTTGTGAAACTTACTTGTTACTCTTTTATTTTCCTTAATTCACAACAAAAAGGACAATCATAGTTCCTACTGAAGTGGACACAGATATTTCATACATACTAGATGATTTTGAACATTACATGAAGTAAGAAATGCAAGATGCTTAAAACAGTTGTTGGCCTTTAGTAAGTTATATTTATCTTGGGTATGGGTCTAGGTTCAGGTCATTTCTAGCAGATTGACCTAATGTTTAAATAATACAGTGGTACATGGTTTATTGTTTGTTTGTTTTTGTTTTTGCTTTTGTTTTTGTTTTGGTACATGGTTTAAACAGAGTTCCGTAATTCTCTTCGCCTCCTGTTTAGGTTGCTTGGAATTAAAGGAAGACACCATTGAAAACCTTCTTGCTGCTGCGTGTCTTCTTCAGCTTCCTCAAGTAGTGGAAGTGTGCTGCCATTTCCTCATGAAGCTGTTGCACCCATCCAACTGTTTGGGGATCCGAGCCTTTGCAGATGCTCAAGGGTGCATTGAGTTAATGAAAGTGGCCCACAGCTACACAATGGTAAGGAGATTTAATATTTTAATCATAGAGGCAGAGCTGTATTATCAGAGGTTAAAACAATTACTGTCATTGCATCGAATGACTTCTTTCTGTTTAAAATGAGTTCTACAAGCTTGGCACATTTCTGTTATGGGGCACAATGTGGTACGTAGTCTTTTATAATAGCAAAGTTAAAAAAAAAAAGGCTGTTCGTAATGGACTTTATATCTGCATTGCCTATAAATTGTAAGCAAAGCCATAAAGCAATTATAGACTGGTTTAGATTTTAGAACTTGTTTAAATGAATCCTTCTTATTGCTCCCAACAAATCTCTCTTTTTGTATCTACTTCCACAGCTGCCATTTTTTGTTCCTTTTCTTTCTAGTAAAGAGCTACCAATCTGTTCCACAAAAAAACTTCTCTTTTTCCTTTTTTTCTTACAACCTTTTTACTATGTAATAAGTTCTATCGACAAAATTCAGTGTTGAAGTCTCACCCACAATGTATTAGTATGTGGAGATGGGGGCTTTTGGTTGCACTTAGGTTTAGATGAGGTCTTGAGGGTGGGTTCCTCACGATGAAATTAGTGCCCTTATACGGAGAGACACCAGAGAGTTTGCCTCTTATCTCTCTCCACCTTGTGAGGACACAGTGAGAAGGTGGCGATCTACAAGCCAGTAAGAGAGCCTTCACCAGGGACCCCAATCAGTCTACCCCTTCATCCTAGATTTCCCAATCTCCTGAATATGGGAAAGAAATTTCTGTTCCTTAAGCTACCCAGGCAGTAATATTTTGTTATAGCAGCCCGGGCTCACTGATACATTTTCATCATAGCACATTATGTTTGGTATAGCTTTGCCTATATGATTTGTGGAAGAAAAAATCACACTTACAGTATATATTATAAAGTATTTTATTGGTAGAGTAAATATTTGATTTTAGAACTCCTGGAAACTTCTATAGTAAGTGAAAATATTTAGATATATAAACCAAATGATCTACAATTTTTTTTTTTTTTAATAACTGACTTTCTGTACATTTTAATGACAGGCTTAAATGGAGTGAATGCACTCAGTAAATACTCCAAAAATAATTTAAACTGTTTATATTTGTCTCTTTGATTTTTTCTATATATAAATAAGTATTTTAACAGCTTTATAGAGATACCAAAAATCATTTGAATTGCACACTTTAAATGTGTGAATTTTGTGGTGTGGGATTTTTTTCATGTTATCTCCTTTCTAGAGTAGAATAATGAGTAGTAACAATTCATACAATATTTCATACCCTAGAAATAATCATTATAAAAACATTTAATTTAGTTTCTGACATATAGTAAACCCTATATAAAATGTTACCCATTTTTCTTATTTTCGTTATTAACATTATTAATGATTTGATCGTTATTATTGAAACAACCAATTGTAAAATATAAAACTTTCCCTTTCCAACTCAAGGGAAGAATTTATATAAGATAAATCTCATTAAGTTTTATACTTGCTACTTATTAAAAAGCTCTTAAGATTTAACATCTTTTCAAGTCACTAATGATTGTCAGCCATATAAGTCTCCTAATTGTTATTCTTATATAGAATTTCAATATTATCTTTTCTTCTTTAATCTTTTAAGCTGATTAGTAAATTAAATGAAAATATAGAAATAAAAAAGAGGTAGATACATGCTTTGTAATTCTACTGTCATTTTTTTCTTTTGAAATATTCCATGACAGGGCATAGTACTGCTACTGAAATTAAATGAACCATATAAAATCAATGTAAACAAATACTTCATCAACCAAAATATCAAAGTCCAACTGCAGTCATTTAATTATGCACATTTAATTGCAATTAGGAGTTCCTGGCTTAGGTAAGCCAAAGAACAATATGCCTCCATATCCAGAGGGATAATGGTCCCTTCTGGTCTAGTTTGAAATTATTAATTTAGTAATAAAGATGTTTTTCTTGCAGCTGCTTGGACTGGACTGTAATTTATCACACAGTAATAGCAGTATTTTTTCTTTAAACATTTAAAAATGTATATTCTGTAGTAAAGTATATTTAAAACCAAAATATAAAGAATTCTAGTTAATACACAACATTCTAAACAACTCTATTTTAATTTATTTTTGAGAGTATGAATGGATTATGTGTTTTGTCATGTCTGTTGAAATTTAAATGATTTCAAATTCTTTTGAAAACATGAAGCTTCAATATTTTCCAGATGCTCATGGGTTACCATTTTAGTGAAGAAAACTTACTGACCAGTTATCTTCCCACTTCACTATTTTCTCTCAATTCTAACACTTTAAAATGAGTGTTTTGCATCTGCTATTATAATTTCTCACCACATCTTTGCTTCTGATCCTTGTTTAATCACACATGTGTCCTCATCTAATCTATTCAATCTATGCTTTGAGAACAAACCTATTATCAGGTTTTTTTTTTCTTTTTAACTGCTTTAATATAGCAATCATCCCAGGCTTCCTGGTACCTCTGGGACTAAATTCTTTATTGGCTCTTATTATTTATTTGTTTATTTTATAAGTAACATTTTTAATCTAATTTTTTAATTTCCTTGCTAAAATTTTTTTAGATACGAACTTGACCTTGAATGGCCAGGTCTTACCTTGCCAAACCTTACCTACCTGCCTTTGATATTTATATCTTTTGCTAACTTTCCTTTGGAAATTTCACCCAGTTATTTGGCTTCAGCTATTGACTCTGTGTGGAGGATTCCAAAATCTATTCAGGAAGGTGACCCAATTTGGCAGTGGTTCATGTGCAAAATACTGGAAAATTTTGAATGCAAGCTCAGTATTAGGCAGAAGTGTGAAACTAATTCTAAAACATTAATTTGGACTTTGGCTTCATGAATATGAAGACAGAAACAAAATAATTGAAGGAAATAGTCCCCCTCTATTATTAGTCAAGAGTTCATTATGAGATCTGTGCTTAATTTTTGACATCATATTTTAAAAGCATTAGAGAGTGACAAATAGAAACATAAGAATGATGACGATAGTAAATATTTTATAATCATATCATATGAAGGGATGCTGTGAGACATTTGGATGCCCATAGCTGAATAGTATTGTGGCATGAAAATAGCCATTTTGCACATTTGTTAGAATAGACATTTCTAAAACAGGGTTGTTTTAAATATTTCATTCTGTTTTTCATCTTAGTAGTAATCTGTTCAAATTAAATGTTATATGAAAGAATAATATTAAGGTTGATTTGCTTTTTGTGAGGATGAATGGAAAGTCCAGAAGTCTACTTCAGTCACCTGATCTTTCTTTCTCTGCTGGGTTGTCTATTTCCACTAATCATCACTGCCACTTCCCTCCAAGGTCATCTGGCCTTTTGAGGAAATTCCTAGAACTGCATTTTCCAGAAATACTCTCCATTTGGTTCTAGATTAGAGTTGCCAATAACAAGCATCCATGTAGGGGTTGGGAGGTGGGAGAGGCCAGGTACAACTTCTGTTGAGAGCAGGAAAATGGATAAATGGAAAATTGAAATACCTTCTTTGCAAGCCTTTGAAAGAGGTGTACTTCACTGCTGGAGACTGCGACCTTCTGGAGATTCTTGAGGAATGGAGTGCCTTTGCTGAGTGCTTTTGAGAACAATTTACATAGAACTGAAGGTTGAGACCATTAACATAAATTTCCTGACCTTCACTTGTACCACCCGTCAATTCACTATCTACAACCTTTCTTACATTGAACATAGAGTGGCTTGTTTTCCTAATCCAACACTTACCTCAAAAAAGCAGATTCACACTCCAAATTTGGACATGCATAGTCCTCCATGCCTAACTTCTAAACCACCCCCTGGGCATTTTCCCTCAAAAATAAATGGAATTGACTTCACCCCTCCTAAACATGTTGTGAATTCCTTTCACTTATACTTTACTCATATTTCTCTTGCCTGGAATCTCTGGGATCTAATTCGAAATAACCCCTCAGTTTCCAGTTTCATTCTTCCATGCCTACAAAATGTCTTAAAACTTTTCATAGCATTCTTTCTCTCCTTTGAAATCTCAGTATTCCTTTATTTAGGATTATGTGATATCATCATAAATTTCCTTATACAAATAATTACTATTTATAACTTTGTGATTGGTCTTCACAACTCTATTACAGAATCCTTTCTGACAGAGTAAGTATTTTTTGTGGAAATGTATTTTGCCCTGACAAAGTACCTAGTACATTGTAATATAATAACGTATTTCCTTTGGATAGTTTTTTAGGATTGTGACTCTCAGCACTCATGAATTCAGTGACTCAAGAAGACCACACATGGTTTTCCTTTCTTTTCAATCCATTTCTTACCATTATTTTCCCTATTCACACAGTTCTAGCCACACCTATCATACTGCTTTTTGACTACAATAAGCATCTCACCTGATGACCTTTGTGTTTGCTCTTTCTTCCCTCCACTAGAAACACTCCCCTGCCAAACATTTATATCCTTTAATCTTCTGCCTCATTCAGATGTCTGCTCAAATATCACTTCCAAGGAGTCCTCATCTCTGAATGTTCTTTTTTTTTTTAAATAAAGATTTATTTATTTGTTTTAGAGACAGAGGGAGGGAGAGAGAGAGAGAGAGTAGGGAGAGAGACAGATGAAGAGGGAGGGAGAGAGAGAATCTCAGCAGACTCCTTGCTGAGCACAGAGCCCAGTGAAGGCCTTGACCTTATGACCCTAAGATCATGACCTGAGCCAAAATCAAGAGTAAGATGCTTAATGCCCTGAGCCATTCAGGCACTCCACATTTTTGAATAGTCTATATAATGTGGCACTGCCTTCAAAACCCTCTTTACCCTTACACTATTTCATATCCTTTAAAGTACTTATGAGTGTCTGGCTTTATATTTTTTTATTTTGTCATTGTTTTGTTGCTTTCTTCTCTACCATTACTATGGTAGCTTCTTGGTAACTTTTTTTAAACTTTTTACCTTAAGTGCATAGTATTTATTGTTGAGTGAAAGAGTGAGTGACTATTGAATACTCTGTACC